GTACTTTAATTAGGTTTGTACTTAAACAAAATTTCTAAGTTTTTTGTTATAGGAGCTACATATGCCCGACGCACTGTTGCAGGACCCTACTACTTAGTACTTAGGTAATTCATAATATCATGCTTAACTATAGGGTTTGTGTCCCAACTGAAATTGTACAGACATATGGGCTATACGATCGAAAAGTCAGATAAAAGGTACAAATTGTTCCGTCTCAACACAGCAGCCGACTGGATGCGAAAAGTCAAAATCCTCCCTCAAGACTTCAAAGACTTAATACAACCAGACCCAGGCCTACCCCAGTCGAATCCAGATCCAAACGTTTACCGATGTAAAAAATGCCGCAGGGTTCTAGCCTGTGAACACAACCTAATAATTCACCTGAACAGTGCCAAAAGTAAGTGTTCACAAATGTATTTTGTCGAGCCAATGGCTTGGATGAATGTGAGTCAAGTGACTCAGGGTAAACTACATTGCCCTAAATGTAGTAATAAGGTGGGGTCATTTAGTTGGGTTATGGGCTGCCAGTGTCCTTGTGGAGTTAAGGTGGCACCAGCCTTTTATTTGGTGCCCTCGAAAATCGATTATACCAATGTGGTTAAGAATATTGAAGTCACATTTTAAAAATATATGTTGGATTGTAAATTTATATAGAACTATCTTATTTGTTTATTCTCTAAGATATATTTATTTAATTTTATTTTATATTAAAATGAAATATTTTGTTTATACAGGGTGAGTCTTAAATAAGGACAAATATTTTCATGGCTGGTAGATATTGAGAAAAGAAACATATTTTCTCTTTGCCGTTTTTCAAATAAGTCCAAAATAATTGAGATATTTAATTTTGAGAACCACTGGATCTTTTCTGGGGTTTCTTTCTTGTACATGTAACCCACTACCTGTGTTGTTATATTATGAAATTATGTTTTTTTAACTAAAAATTAAAAAAATCTAAAATTTTTTTCAAAAAATTCCAAATTTTCAGAATTTTTTATTCGCGGAAAAAGCTGTTTTTCTGAGATCGAAATATACTACCCCGAAAAATATTTGCATTTATTTAAGAATCACTCTGTATATTGAATATCACATCCTTATATACAGGGTGGTACGAATTATATTGGGAAAACTTCGTCAGCATATTATTCGGCAGACAAAATAAGTAAAAAAGTTGGTTTAAATGTATGTCCTAAAATGCTTTGTTTCGGAGATACAGGGTGTAGAAGTTTGATGTTTATTTCGATTTTATTGTAAATATAATTTCCATTCCAAATATCTTGAGAACGGTTGCGCGTAGCGATTGTTACCAAAGAGACTTTTTACGTAAAAACTTCGGAAATGTATATTTTTTACTCGGTAATTTTAATACAGTTACGGAAGAAAAGTTATTACTCTTCAAAACAAGTTAAAAACATTTAGGTAGCGTTTTCTACAATTAAGAGCCATATTGACATGGAAATCAAATTTATCATTTGAAAAAACACGCAAACACCAATTTTCATTTAAATACCGATGTTAGTTCAGAAATTATTTGGAAAAAATCGAAATAAAAATGAAACTTCTACACCCTGTATATCCGAAACAAAGTATTTTAGGACATAAATTTATAGGGACTTTTTTACTTATCTTTATCTGTAGAATAATTAATTTATATAGAAAATAGGCAACAAACAACAACTTAAAGCCGAGTCATTTTGTACAAATTATAAAAAAAAATATTTTCTTCAAACTTGATAATACATTGATATATTTATCTGTAAGGAAAATAATTAGGTAGGAATATATAAGAATTTATGTTTGTTATATTGTTATATGCCCCAAAAAGAAATGTACCCTAGTTAAAATTATAATAAAATACTATATGTACTGGAAATAAAAACATTTTATATATTATTAAAAATGTTTTATTATATTTAAATCTACATATTTATTTATATACAATTTTGTATAAACTCTCCAAGTTCTACGTAATTTAAAATCCATAACTATAATTAAGATTTTCACATTCCATGTTTCGTTTATCAAATTTATATGACTTATTACATTAATTTAACAATTATTTTACATTATTTTCTTTACAATTTATTAAATTAAACATATTTATATTTAAATAGTTCATTTGGCAGCTATCTTATTCTTGAGTTTAGGGGATTTACCACTTTTCCTACCATTAACGCTACATTCAACTCTGTATCCATGACAAAGTACAGAAAGGGATGGTCGGCTCTAAACTGTACAGGTGGATATCTTCGTAAGTTTTCTAAAAAAAATAAGAATTATTATTAGTAATACCGTATTATCGAAAAAAAAAATAATGTTATTAATTGTAAGAACTTATGATTCCAGTATTCATAATTCCATCAAAATAATTAAAAGAAAAATATATTTTTAAGAATTCGGTACACTATGTCGTAGTACCATATGGTCGAAAAAAAAAACGGCGTCAAAGACGACTGAGGAATGACAATCCATGATAATTTTGGCGAGGGCAATCTGTATGTACAGGGTGACGCCTCTCATACGCCGCGGAGGCTCCAAGGAGAATGACAGTTTGTATTGAAATGAAATTTTGTGAGCATATGTAGGTTAATTCAGGGCACTTTTTAAAAATATAGAGAGTTCTACAGGGTGTCCCCAAAAAAAGTTACATATCAAAGTTGTGTTTTTTGTAATGAAATACCCTATATATTAATTGATTTTCGGATTCTAGGAAAAAAATAAAGGTGAGTTTTATAAGAGAAATATATGACTAAAATGTAAGTTTAGTGTTTTTGACATATTTAACATTTTCTAGAAATAAAGAACAATTTTTAAATTACAATAAAAGCTACCTATATTGGAATTTACCCGGTGTAGCCTAATATGTAGTTAAACTAACTATTCTACTTTAAATCAAATTAAAACTTGATCCAAAAGTTATACAGGGTGAGACAAAATTAATATTGAACATTGGTCACCTTTAAAAGCGTGTTACTCTCTTATTTTAAATGGAACATCCAGTATATTATTCCGATATTTAATGGAGAATTCCTGTCTCTTTAAAATACTATTAAGGTTGCCTACCCCTCAAACAAAGATTTTCCTAGATATTTTCATTTACATGATTTGATCTGAGTAGATCTTTATTATTTGATAAAACCTAGGTGGCTGTGATATGTCTGACGTTATTTCAACATAGCTGTCTAATTAGTTCAACTTTAATAACTAGTTATAATTTTTTGTCAGCTAAAACAAAAAAAAATTCTCAGGAATTTGCCGAAAATGCAAACTTATTCTACATCAGAGAGAATTGATATGCAAATTGAATGCACACTGCATTCACCAACTAATAGAATATTTAAATCCTCCTGATTTTATCTAGTCTGGGTTTTTTATGGGGATATGTTAAAGACAGTGTTTAAAAAACTCGACCAACTAGTGTCGACAGCATGAGATAAATTATTGTAGCTGCTTTTTCAGGTAGAACTCCACATATGCCTTTTAAAATGTAAAGATCCTTTTGGAAAGACAATAATTTTATGCAGTTAACAGGAAAGGAAGCATTTTGAGCATTTGATTTCATCCAGCTAATTTTCGTCGCATAATTATAGGTTTATATCTAGTTTTAATTCTGTAATAATTAAAATATGTTTTAAACGTATGTATTTTATTACCCTTGAGTATTTTACTCCACAATCTTTAATTTTGTTAAATTAATAAAGGTATATCCACACAGCCACCTAGATTTTCAAATAATAAAAGATTTACTGGCGCAAAATCATAAAAATTAAAATATCTGGGAAAATCTTTGTCTGAGGGGTAGGCAACCTTAATAATATTTTAAAGATATATAAATTCCCCATTGAACACCGGAAACATATACTGGGTGTTCCATTTAAAATAAAGGAGTAACTTGCTTAAGTACTAATGTTCCATATTAATTTTGTCTCACCCTGTATAACTTTTCGGGTTAAATTTCAATTTGATTTAACGTACAATGGTTACTGTAATTAAATATCAGGCTATACAAGGTCAACTAAAATTTAGGTAGCTGTTATCGAAATTTAAAATTTACTCTTTATTTTCACAAAATGTGAAATATGTCAAAATCCTTAGATTTTAGATATATATGCTTCTTTAATAAAACTCACCCAACTCACCTTTATTTTTTCCTAGAATCCGAAAATCAATTAATATATAGGGTGTTCCATTAGAAAAAACACAACTTTGATGTGTAACTTTTTTTGGGGACACCCTGTATAATTCTATATATTTTTATAAAATGCTTCCGGTTAACCTACATATGCTGCCAAAATTTAACTTCGATATAAACTACCGTTCTCCTTAGAGCTTCCGCGGCGTATGAGAGGCGCCACCCTGTATAGACGTCATTTACTAAAAATTGACATAAAATTTGCAACAATACTAATTATAGAAAGATTAAAAAAATAGAACGTTTCCAAATACACAAATCTATTTCCAAAAAAAAAATTATCGAATTTTCAACTAAAAATCATTTTTACTAATAAAAATAAATTACAAACTTCTTAAGGCCAACCGGCAGTAAGCTCCATTAAAAAATAAAGAAGAGTACGGGCTAATTAAATGACGTCTAGTGCTTGACTTCACCAAAATTGTCAAGAATTGTTATTCCCCAACCCTCTTTGATGCCGTTTTTTTTTGTGTGGTATGGTACTTATATTACCGAATTCTTAATAACCTTTTCTTGCTTTTTTTAAATATTTTGACGGAATTATGAATACTGGAATCAAGTTAAGTTCTTACAATTAATAACATTAACATCTGATATCTGAATAGCAGAAGACAATGAATGAAGCTTAATGTTTGTTGAGGCACTTAAAAAAATTGACGTGAGAAACACTTTGTACCTTAGAAACAAACATAAAGAAAAAGCGTGAATTTTAACACTGAACTAAATCTCGTTACGCAATTTTCAGATGGTAGGTACACACAAAAAGTACCGTAGATCAGAGGCGGCTCGTCAATAGAAGAATTCGTGCACCCACTACAAGAAAAAAATAATAAAAAATAAACTTTAAAAAGTAAATTTTAATAAAAAAAATGTACTATGTGCGCATATTTGAAGTGAAACTTCTTACCAACAACTATTAAATTGAAGGTTTTGAAGGATATGTTTGAAAAAATGTAGTTTGAAATGTTGAAAAAGTAGGTTAGTTGAGGCATTGGTTCGAAACAGTTCGAAACGTCGAGGGCGTCATCCTGTATCCCGTCCCCAATTATGCTGAAATCGACCCACATTTTTCTTCAATATCAAACCCTTAGTCCCACCCTGATGAAGATGTAAACGAAACGTCGTATCCAACTTTGCAGGATGGGACCGTGTACACCGTCGCTCACATAGCCTACCCACCAAATTTGGTTGCGATCGGACGACATCAACTTTTGACGTTTCTTACGTCAAAACTAACTGTCACAGTGACACGTGTCGTACACAGTCAAGTTGGCCTTGAACCAATCTATCGACAACAAATTTCATTTAAATCGGACAATTTTTTTTAAGCCGTAGGCTGTCCTTACCACTTTTCCTCTCGCCTGTCGTGTCGCGTGTCGTTTCACGGCCTTGAATTTTTACTACTAGCGCGCCTATAAAGGAATTTAACTTCAATAAAGAAAGAATTAAATTAAATACATGTTTTAAAAAGAGTAAATAGAACATGTTTAATTTTTACTATAGACCTACAATTACGTTACATTTAAAAATATACAGGGTGGCGCACCTCATTCGCCTCGGTTTGATTATACGAAAAAAGAAAGATGTAGAAACAATTTTTTTATGGGTATATGTAGAGAGGCAATGTGCATAATTTAAAATTATTTTCAAATATACAGGGTGTGTCAAAACTAAGATGCATACCAAAGTTATATTTTTTCTTATAAACACCCGGTATTTTATTTCATTTCTGGATTCTTGGGCATTAAATATGGTATTTATTATAAGGTTTTAATATGTTTAAATGCTTTGATTTTTGAGATATTTAAATATGCATGCTATAATAAAAAAGTATGTCAACACCCTGTACATTACTTTTCAGAGTTAATTCTTGTGCTGACTTTGAAGCCAAAGAACTTTACTAAAAAACTTGACTGCTTCGTTAAATTTATACAGGGGTATCAAAAAATGCTGGTCTATTTTAAATATTTATTTTACATAAAAACTTCGTTATTTCAAGTCGAAGCAGATTTAAATGCTCTTTCAAACTATATTAGGGTTTCCTATACCTATCTGGGTCAGATTTTGAACAAAAATCAAGATCGCTAGTGTCGCCATGGCAATTTGCTAGTGATAGTTAGTAGTAGTAGACTTGTAGATATATTGGATTTTCTATAAAAGAACCAATTAAGGCAAATTCATTTTCTTCGCTTCCAACGACAGGTTTCTGCCTAATAGGATTTTCATATACCACTCTATCAGCTTTGCGAAGTAGGATATATAGCTTTTCAAAGGAACGCTTGTTAAGAAAATTCCTATTTGGATATCTTTGAACAAAAACCCTTCAGGCTTACAAGCAATTGTCCGCACGAAATAAAATCACTAGTTGCATATCCATTCCTTCCGCCAGCAGATACTGCTTCCATTTTTCTTGATAAAATAATAAATATTTACTTATTAACCTTATTGTTAGGAAATTAAATAAAAATAACCTGTTATAAATTTAAATAAAATCCATAAACTATATAATGTCGTTTTTGAAAATAGCTACTAAGCTACCTTGATCACAATTTTATTGAAAAATCGCTTTTTATTTAAAATCTGAGCCAGATAGGTATAGGAAACCCTAATATAGTTAAATCTGCTTCGATTTATTTAAAACAATACAGTGTGTTGCATTTGAAATAACAAAGTTTTTATTTAAAATAAATATTTAAAATAGACCAGCAATTTTTAATACCCCTGTATACATTTAAGAAAGCAATCAAATTTTTTAGTAAAGTTTATTTCTCTGGCTTGAAAGTCAGCACAAGAATTAATTCTGAAATGTAACGTACAAGGTGTTGACGAACTTTTTTATTATAACATGCATATTTAAATATCTTTAAATACCTAAAAACCCAAAGCTTGTAAACATATTTAACCCTTATAATAAATGCCTTATTTTGTGCCCAAGGATCCAAAAATGAAATAGAATACCGGGTGTTCTTTAAGAAAAAATATAACTTTGGTATGGATCTTAGTTCTGACATACCCTGTACATTTCAAAATAATTTTAAATTATGCACATTGCTCTCCCACATATACCCATAAAATATTTTGTTTATACATCTTTCCGTTTTCGTATAATCAACCGAGGCGAATGAGGTGCGCCACCCTGTATAACTGTTTCTTTTAAATATATATTGTATGTTCACTTGCTTCTTTGGGAAACTACGTAACCTATAAAGATTAATGCATATACGCGATTTTCTATATCTATGACTGTAGTTGACGAGTCGCCACTGCCGTCGATTGACAAAACAATTGGCGGGCATTTTTGTTAAATTGCGCCTGCTGGATTAATTGCATCACTTACGTAATCAACCTTGCGCGGAAGAGTTACACCTTTACATCTGATGACCCGCGCTTAAAAAATACTTAACAATGATGAGTATGTATTTTTATTACAAGAAAACTGAAAGTACACTCCGCGACAAAAAATCCTCCACCCTTTCTTTTATAAACTGTCTTATAATATATTTTTTACTAGTCAGAAGATTGATTCGTTGATTTGAAATCTACATTCTCTACATGCTATTTTCTTTAAATTACACGACATAATACTCACTGTAATTCTCCGCTGAAGGATCCAAGTAGTTTCGTATAGTCACAGTGACAGCTTGCTCGATGTTTGTGACGTAGATATCGGTGACATTGGTCATCGGTGAGAAATCAGCTTGCCTTGGTTCGAAAATCCTTCTAATACCCAACTTAAACATAAGATTTTGCTTAAAATTACTCTTAGTATTAAAGGTGGGTTTGTTTTAATCACAGCTTATTCAATACCAGCCATCTTGCCTTGCTTTTGAGTATTCGCGTTTCTGATATACGCAGATTTCTATGTAACTGATCGTAAGTCGACAGGCTGGTCGTGAAAGGGCTGTGGTTTTAATTACAGATTACAGTACACACATTACACAAGTTGAAAAAGTGAATCGTCCAAAAAACTGACGTGCTTTAGGAAATATCGGTCGTGTGTGTATCGCAGTTTAATAATAATAATACAGGGAAAATAAAAAGTAATTACTTATACTGACCTGTTGGAGTGTTGGTGTTAAAGTAACGTACCCTTTGAGAGTAAAACTAGGAATGGTGGCTATCACGTGAGTTAAACGTAAGTTCTCCAAGATGAATCTCAAATTACCGTGCAACCTGTAAATTTTTACATCCTGTACATACCATGCAAATATACAGGGTGAGTCTTAAATAAGTTCAAATATTTTTAGGGGTGGTGTATTTTGACTCCAGGAACACGTCTATGAGTTTTTTTTTTCGCAAAAACAAGGTGTTGAAAATGGTGCATTTTCCTTTAAATTTTCGTCCTATATTATAGAAAACTTTTTAGAACTGCCTGTTCATCGCAAATTTTCCCACGGTATAATTTCTTAATATTTGGTATGTTTATGGTTACGGCACAAAAAGGGATGCAAATAAAAAAAAACTCAGGTGGCTCCCAAATGTTTTCCATGTCAATCTTGGACTGATTTGAAAAACGGTAAAGATATTTTCTCATTACCGTTTTTTTTCGAGATCTCTTTATTTTTTTTATCGAGATCTACCATGCAGTCCTGATATCGAGACCTACCAGTCATATTTGCACTTATTTAAGACTCACCCTGTATATGGCAAATCCACAGATCTAAAAAAATATATCTATAGCAAAAAAAATAAAAATATATAATTTTAGTTTAAAAATATGTTTGAATCGCCCTGTATATCAACAAAATTTACTTTAAAATATTTTATGAACAATACTGACTCACCTTAGGTCACAGATTAGCTGATCTACTCCGTTAAAATCTACAGGGAGTAACAATAAAAGGTAATATTTGGTGTTGTCCAGAGGAAAACTCAAGGCAAGGGCGTTCAAATTTGGAACAAAATAAAAAGGCAGTACTGTATCGTACTTCATGAAGTTAACTCCGGGTTCCTGGTACTTCCCATACGCTGCGAACGTTAGAGGCTCTTCAGGCCTGTAATATGGCCTATATGGCCTTTTGTGTGGTGGAATGTAATGGCTATTATGTTCGTAGTACCTAAAAATCATATTTAAATGTGTAGGTATGTTTACACACATCAATACTACCTTGCAAAAACATAATCAGGTACTGATCTAACTCTTCTAAAGTTCCTGTTAAAACCTTCAGTGTTTGGGAAATTAACGGCGAATGCAGATTCTGTGGGGTAAAATGGGGAAATACCAGAACACATCACTGAGTGCGCTGAGACGACAACCGTTTGTGCCAAAAACTTTGGTACGGCTAATTTCGAAGATGGAGAGCAGGCCTCTATAACGCCATTTTAGATACTGGCTCTTGTCAAGGTTGACTGTATGATGAGTTAACTAATAACTATTTAGTTAACATGATTAATTTATGTCAATGACGACAGGTATTGATAATTTCGATTCCAAATATCTCGAGAACCATTAATCGTAGTGATTTTTACCGAGAGACCTTTTCTACGTAAAAAGCGTCGTAAATGTATATTTTTACTCCGTAGTCTTATACAGATACAGACAAAAAGTTATTTAACAACAATTTAACTTTATTCATACTGTAGACGGCAAAGTAAATCTTGCCTACGCTCTGTATAGAGCATAGAGCTATAAAAACAGAAGAATGTCATTCCGTTCTTTCTTCAAATTCAGTACCAAGTCATTTTGTATTTTCCATTCTGCATAAGTTTTTATATTCTCGTTAGTATTTTCCGAATATAATATATACTTTAATTTCTGTTATTTCTAATAATTGTTTTGTCTTATGTTATGAGTTTTGTATCTACTGTGTATGTACATGAAATTACTAAAGAAGCATGAGTATTTCCCCACTGAAACAGAAATCTAAAGTAATAAAATGTTTTTTGAAAACGCCACTAACAAGCCTAACGGAAGCCAGCTATTCGGTAAAATTTCCACCATAAAAAAATTGTCTAACCTACAAAAAATGCTTAATTTTTCAGAGGGTATATCCCGTCATCAGAAGTAAAAATTCAAAAAAAAAATAAAGAAAAACTATAAAAATTCTTAAAATGTAACTACTTTGAGTATACTTTAGTGTCTTGGCAAAGACACATCTATTAAAACCGTTGATATTCTGATAAACTGAAAAAACATTAAAATATTCAATGCTCATAACATATTATACAGAACATAATATAAACGGACATCTAAACAATTATATGAGGTATTGTTTTTAATTAGTAGTATTTTTAATATGCATTCATTTTTTATGTTGTTTGCAGATATAAATATCGTTTTTAATTAAATACTAATAAGCCTCGCATATCATTCGTAAAAAATAAATTCCATTAATTTTGTCCACCATCATCGATTGTTAAACGTGTTCATTAGATCGCCTCACGCACGTATGGAGCTCAATGTTTTTATTTCGCTTAAATTCTGTAACGAGCCACCATTCACGTCAAACTCGAAATAAATTAACTGTCAATTTTAAACTCCAGATATCTGTTTAATCGTTTTATTAACAATAAAACATGCCATGTAAAAAACCAATAAACGAACCGGAAGATTCGACCTGTTCAGAATTGATAAGCGTGACATGACAGAAAAAAATGCAATGTTGCCGATATCATACTTACTTAACAATCCTGAATTACTATTGTTCTAAATATAATTTACAAACTAATAAATTTTTTGCTAAAATATAAAAGGTATTTAAACGTATATAGATGTATAAATACACAGTAATTTTAAGAGTTATTTTTTAGAGAACTTTTAAGTTTCATAAGAGAACATCGCAAATAATTGATTATATTGGAGGTCGTTATAGTTTCTGAAGACGCGTATTAATATTATAATCAGTATATTTTTTTGTAATTAGGGTAATACTAACTCAAACTAGGGCTCAAATTATGTAATTTAGAAAACGCTAAGCGCTTTAAGACGCTCAGCGTATATGACGTTAATTTCCGCTTAGCGCGCACTTAACTACCGATTTGGGTATTCTCATCTGAAGTGCATAGCGTCTTTACCGATTGCGCTAAGCGATTCGAAAACAGCTACCTTAAAGGATCGTTTAATTTACCGAACTGTCAGCAAAAATAGAAAAAAATGCGTTCTCTTGCTCTTTGGTGAAACTTCTTCTTCTATAAATTCCTCAATAAGTAATTGATAATTTACAACTTGACAGCTATAAATATTGTTCAAAACATCGAAAATGCTGAGAAGCGTCTTCAATATTTCCCTTCTATAATAAGAATAATGACATATCCATAGAAAAATAGGTTGACATAACTCAACAAAAGGTTATGAAATTCACGTACCGGGTGTCCCACTAAGAATAGCTCTCGGCTGTATCTCGGAAAGTACCGTATGATCGAGAAAAAAACGGCGTCCAGTTTGCTGGGAAATGACCATCGATTACATTTCCCATAAAAATTTACATATAAAATGACAGCGATCTTCATTTCATAGCCATCGTTGACGCCGTTTTTTCTCGATCATACGGTATTAGCCGTAGGGCTTACGAAAAAAAATATTTATAACTACAGAGGCTATGAGAAATTGCTGGGAAATTATTTTCAAGTTTGTAGAACGACTGCAGGAGGCGCAACTGCAACAAAAAATAAGAAATGGAGTTTTACAATTTTGCCTAGATAAGGTGTACTATAAGTAATAGCTTCATAATCTTCAGTAAATTTTGAATATTTTTGTTAGAGCCATATTCCTCTATCTACCAAAATAAAGTGGTGGGGAAGGTTAGGGATCTGTTTTTTATTTAAATATTGATAACTCTGGACTGATGATCGGAATCCAACAAGCGAGGGCTCGTTTAAAAGAGCGTTTCTTACTCTATATTATACCATATAAACAATAATAATAAGCTTTTTGAACATAGACGTTACGGAGCGTTGTCTTTACACCCTAACTAACATTGTGCTAGTGTTTTTTTCAAAAAATTAAATGCAATACTATATGTAATTTTAGCTGATCGGAAAGAGTAGAAAAAGCTTAAAAGTCAGCGAAAACCGCATTTTGATATCTTTTTTCAAACCGAAGATATTAGCAGAATTATAATAAAAACAAAATAAGCCTTTCACCTTATTTTTACAATAGTATCAGTAGCCCTCTGATTAGGCCCATTCTAACAAAAATAAGATAGAAACAGTTAGTTTATTTTAAAAATTGACGAAATACCAGAACACATAATACTCAGATGTATTAATATCTAATAATTAAGATATTAATAACAAGTGGATAAGAAACAGATGATTCAGTGAAGTCATGGTAGTTGTGGAAAGTTGCTGACGTAATAGTATAAACGTCAAATTGTTATTAGATCAACATTTTGATAGCCTTAGCAGCGTTTTTTATTGCTTTTATTATTTGAAGTAGTTGAAGCTGTTGGCATTTTGAAGAAGCAATGAAAAGATAAAAAACGCTGCTAAGACTATCAAAATGTTGATCTAATAACAATTTGACGTTTATACTATTACGTCAAAAGCAACTTTTTTCCAAAGCCTACCATGACTTCACTGAATCATCGTGTCCTGTCCACTGATATTAATATCTTAATTATTAGATATTAATACCTCTGGTATTATGGTATTCTGGTATTTCGTCGATTTTAAAATAAACTAACTGTTTCTATCTTATTTTTTGTTAGAATGGACATAATCAAGAGGGCTACTGATACCGTGTTGTAAAAATAAGGTAATTAACGGCTTCTTGTTTGGTATTTATTATAATTTTGCTAATATCTTCGGTTTGAAAGAAGATATCAATCCGATCAGCTAAAATTACATATATTATTGCATTTAATTTTTTTGAAAATACGCGCAATGTTTGTTAAATTGTAAGACAACGCCCCCTAGCGTCTACGTTCAAAAGCTTATTATTATTGTTTATATGGTATAATATAGAGTAAGAAACGCTCTTTTAAACGAGTCCTCGCTTGTTGGATTCCGATCATCCAGTCCAGAGTTATTAATGTTTAAATAAAAACAGATCTAACCTTTCCTCACCACTTTATTTTGGTAGATAGGGGAAAATGGCTCTAACAAAAAATATTCAAAATTTACTGAAAATTAAGAAGCTATTACTTATAGTACACCTTATCTAGGCAAAATTATGTAAAAACTCCATTTTCTTATTTTTTGTTGCAGTTGCGCCCCCTAGCGATAGTTCTACAAACTTGAAAATAATTTCTCATAGCCTCTTTAGTTATAAATATTTTTTTTCCGCAGCCCCTACGGCTAATACTTTCTGAGATACAGCCGAGAGCTATTCTTAGTGGGACACCCTGTACATTAACATTTTTCATTGTTTTGTCCACATTTGACTATTAGATACTTAAGAAATTTCGTTGCTGCCAACATGTGCTCAACACGTATCCAGAAAACGATTTGCGCGGCAACGAGACCACCAAAATCGACTGCTTGGTGTTCCGCTAATCGAATACTTTCGCTTACCGCTTTGAAAGCGTAAGGTTTATATGTCGAAGTTCCAGAATTCGGACCCAGAGCTTTACTTTGATAACCGCATAAATTTATGACAGTAGAGTATGAAAGTTAAAGAAGAGGACAACAAAGACGTTAATACGGAAATATACTTCTGGAGACGTTCTGCAGGAAGATCGAAATTAAAATCAGTTAGAAATAAAAGAATTCAACAGACCGTGAATACTCACACTCATTCAATAAGAAAACACATCAGCTGAGATGGTATGGCTAAATCCAAGGAGTGCGTGCAAATATTTTCAGGGGCTGGTTGGTCTCGATAAAAAAAAAAACATATTTTTCTTAGCCGTTTTTCAAATAAGTCCAAAATAACCGAGTTATTTCATTTTGAAAATTAAAAAAAAATATATTTTTTGCTTAAATTTTGAGAACCACTGGACCTTTTCTAGATTTTCTTTCTTGTAAATTTAAACTACTACCCATGTTGTCATATTATCAAGAAATTATATTTTCAACTGAGAACTAAAAAAAATCAAATATTTTTTCAAAAGAATTCAAATTTTCAGTTTTTTTTTCAAGAAAAAAATTTATAATCGCGTTTCTGGGGTCAAAATATACTACACCTAAAAATATTTACACTTATTTAAGACTCAGCCTGTATGATAAAAAATTGCTGAATTTTTGGATTAAGGTGTATGTATATGTTCAGAGAAGTGGCAATAATGCTCGTTATATACAGAATATTTAACAAGGGCATATGTGCACGAAAGTGGAAAATATAAAATAAAAATCTGACCGCTAGCGTTCGATTATTTAATCCGCTAATAATAAATAATCCGGCAGCTACACAGACGAGCCGAAAACGATCGATAGCCTGTCCAACCGACTGGCGTAAATAATGAATGTTGCAGCTTTAAATAATTATTTAACTTCCTTTCGTTGGCCCAAATACTTTGACTTTCTGGATTTCAATTTTTGACATTTATTGGGGGTAAAGTGTTCCGATTATAAATTAAAAATTATCTTCATATATACAAATCAAATATTTTCAATAGTTACCGACAGTTTTCTGAACTTAATTAACACTGTAACATTTATTTCAACACTAATTGAATAAAAAAATTGAAACAATAAAAAAATATGTGGCTCTTTAAGTAGTAAGTACATATAAGTACTAACCAGAAATATATAAATGATTAATATATAAATATAGAAAAGCTTTTAATTATATAGGTACAATTAAGAATTACTAAATTGCTATAGATGCTTTGTCTATAGTAAATCAATCCCCTAAAAAATAGAGAGCAAATTCTTATAAAATAAAAGGATTAGGTTTAAACGTATGAATAAAGAAAAAAGAGCTTAGAAGTGCTCAGAAGTGCATTTAGCGGAAACACTTACTTGCGGAAATCAGAGTTGCCACTAGTGGAGCTCCCGTGAAGTTCCCATGAAACCGACCTTCGTCATCTTTCCACGGTTAAGTGGTTGCTACTCAAATTGTACAAGATTCAAATTGTGTAAGATGATAAAGTTTCTCAAAATTTAAAGTACTACAAAGAACAACATTCACCCGAAGCGTGTGCTTTTAAAATAATGTTCGGATGGACATAAAAATGTGGAATGGTTGGCTCAGAACATTCTTGACGGAAATGTAGTGTGTGATGGTATATTTTCAACTCCAAAGTATAAAAATATACGTATATATATATATATATAATATATAAGATCTGCTTTTTATATTTTTTTCCAAAGCCGAATTCAAAAAAAAAATTAATTCAAATTCAAAGCAGTCCACTCTATTTTATATTGCGCGAATAGTGGTATAAGAATACTTGAACAAACTAGTTGTTGAAGTCAGTTTCGTAAAAGTTACCATACTGTAATAAAGAACAGCGGACGTCAGTTTAGATTTACAAAGACCATTGGAGCACTAAACTGTATACATTTACATATGTGAACGTAGATAAACCTAAAGTACATGGAGACAAATACAAAAATAGGAATGGAAAGTACATATTCACCATCGTGGATGTGTACTGACCAGGGTGTACATGACATCAGAATCTGAAAAATATCGACGTACGGAGAACGCCGTTCTCATTGGCGATCAAAGATATACTACCTATTGAGCTTTGGCTTATGACACCTTTTCGAGAAACTATCTACACAAATGTCAAGACAAAAGGATTAAGATAAATTGATATCAAAAAGAGAGGGTAGTAATTAAACCGTATTTTTATTGTATACTGATAATGTCCAGATTTAATTGTGGTTTATATAATTTAAAGGCTTTTCAGGATCCGGATTTTAAAGTCAATGATGAATGCGAATTATTTCAGCTAACAGTCTTTATTATTTCACGACCAGTTATTCGTTTTTCTGAAGCATTTGCTTGCAGGTATAAGGTAATTATTATTTATACTGTATAAAGTAATTATTTTTACTTCTCCCTTTAGCTCGTTATGTACAGAATATTTAACAAGGGCATATGTGCACGAAAGTGGAAAATATAAAATATTATATTATTATATAAAATTGCCACTTCTCTGAACATATACAAACACCTTAATAAGGGGAAATTTGCTTTTATCTTACTTTATTTGTTTTGCTCATTGGTACGACAAATTAAAAAGATGTGTATCATGTTAAAACAAATTATGTGAACAAAATAATACATTCTATCTATTACATCAAAACAATTTAACACTTTAATTTTAATATTAGTAATTTTACACTATTCATGTACGATTTTTTTTAAATTAACTTAAATTATAAAGGTCTTAGATTAAAAGAACGCCTGCGCAGCGGTCTCATAAAAATATTTATATAAAGAAGTGTTGTTTAAATACTTAGACCATTTATATAGTTTATGTTTCTTCATTTTTTTCTAAAATGTTAAGCGTTCTATGGTTCTAGGCAAATTTGCTTACAAGTAAAAAGCCACTGAGAAGTTGATTTCCGCTTGTATTCTAAATAAGTAACATTTTAAAAAAATAATAGGTTTTTGTTTCTCAGATTTTTGATTAATTGGTGAAATACTTAGTCATTTTTCCCGAATATTTCAACTTATTTCACTACAATAATTTACGATAGTTTTTTATTCTAATTAAAAATTGTTCCTGTTGTTCTTCTGTGTTTCTGTTACTGTTGCTGTTTTCTACTCTTGCCATATTTCTTTTGGCATTATTAAAATTCTATTATTTTAGTTTATTATTCGTTTGTTTTCTTTTTTGAAAACGACTTGCAAACCGAGTTACTTATTTGTCCTTGTTAAACTTTATAAACTGGAACAAAACGAAGTTTTTTTAAGAACAGGCTCAAACACGAAAAATGAGACAATTCCGCTAATACGCGAGTGATAAATGGCGGACAAAGAAAAATTCCTCTCGCGGGCCATTCTAACGGGAAAAAGAAAGTTTTAATATACTTCGTGATTATGATGGAACATCTGCCGCTACTGGAAAGGACAAGAAATCTAATTTGATTTTTCCGGCGGCGCAGGTGGAAATCCCTTATTTTTCCAAATTACCCGCTTTAATTAAGGAAAGTTTAAAATTATGTCTTAAATGAAAAATTCAGACGTGCAACGTATCTGTTGAATATATTTTCGGGCTTAGTTTTAATCCGCGTGATGTTGAAAGCTGTATAAAATTTGTATCAATCTAAAACTAAAGTACAGCAATGTTAAATAATTTGTGTACTAAATATTTTAGATTCAGGAAGATGTATAACAATATCATTATAAATGTAGCCTGTACTGATTGAGTTCAAGAGTAATCGTCATGTTATTCATCATCAGCCAAATCTAATTGAAAATCTATCTAAATAATCATCTTTTTAACTGATAATTTATATAAATAATTTATTAGATGATCTTCAAATTTTGAGATAAAACTACATATTGGGTATCCTGAAAAAGTACTGATCAAATTGTACGTTTTTTAAACTACAAACCCCACATTTCTGCACAGAATTGGATTAAGCACAAACCTTTGCTATAGTATACTATTTTTAATTAAAGCACAGCGCAGTGTTGCCATGCTTTTTCTGATTTACTCAAATTGATTATAAACAGTTTATAAGAAAAGTGGTTAAAAACTGTAGTCAATTTAACTTATTAACTCTTAACTATATTTTGATAAACATAAAGGATACTTATATGGGGTATTTTTATAGCGTATTTAAAATGCTAAATCGCATTTTTTTTAATGTAACGCTAGGTATATTATTTTCCTTTCAGATGTAAGTTACAAAATGAACATTTTCTGTTATTAAAATATTCCTAAATTTTTTAATGGAGTCAAAGATATTCGCGGCACTTTATTAGATATGGGTCTTTCAACAGTATTTTTTTATGAAAACCACCTAATGATTTTTTCTGGTATTTTACCGTTCAAGGAGCTATACAGGGCTGTTCACCACATACGGCACGGAGTATTGTAGCTAAACGATTAGATTTTTACAAATTGTAAGTTTTGGGTTCGTTGAAGGATTTGAAAGACCTTCGACAAGATTAGAGGTTCAATTTAAAATAGTTTTACAAGACACAGAGTGTTCCAAATAAGTAAAAAATATTATAGTTTTTTTTAATGGAAGACCCTGTATATTAATCTATTTTTAGATTCTACGGTTGAAATAAAGGTAAATTTGATTAAGGTTTATCAGACTTAAACCTTACCGTTTTTGAAATATTTTCAACTTTGTGAAATTGCAGTAAAGAATTTAAGGCTTCATTTCTTCAAGGGTATTAAAGGTTTTAATACTAAGTATTTACTGAAGATTATTTATTTATCAGATATTGTGTTGCAATAATAAAAATTATACTACTTTATAAAGAGTGTCCAAAAATGTATATTACTAGCATTAAACGGCAATAGCTTGTTTAATTTAACTGGAACATCCTGTATATTTTACATGAATCAGATGCACAATTTAATTATCTATCAAATTGTATTATAATATTTTTTACCTATCTCTTCAAGTTTTCGTAAAAAATGCATTTTCTTATAATTTAAACTTCATTTATTGACATTTTAGATTTTTTTAAAGCAACATAATATGTACAAAATGTACAGGTGGTAAAAATAATAATATTGCAAGCCCATTTGTTTACAAAATGAAATCTATTTAAATTTTTGTAAAAGAGTATACCAATTTTTACTAATTATTAATATGCCACCATTACTTCCGCCCAAAAATTAGTTAATTACTTACTTAATTGTTTTAATTAATAAATTATTCTAAATAATTGTAGATCGGATTCACAAAATCAATACAATAATAAGTTATGAAAATGAACATGTCTGTTGTTATAAATAACCATTGTCAAAAAATAAAATAAAATTTATAAGGTGTTACTTTTTACCACACTGTGTAATACACATACAAAATTCAGTTTTTAGTATTTGGAGCAATTATTATTAATCAACGTAAACGGTCAATTAATGTAGTTTGAATACTGGGATCATATTAATCGAATCTCTTTAACAAAAATATTTAAACAATTTTTTATCTTTTAATGAAATAAGCGAACTATATCGACAATATTAGTATCTGTACTTTTTGGTATCTGAAAATTTGTTACATCTTTAAAAATAATCTAAAATGTCAATATTCCATGGGTATATTTATAAATGAGGTCTAAATTATAAGAAAATGCATTTTCTACGAAAACCTGAAGAGATAGGTAAAAAAATAGTATAATACAATTTGATAGACACATAAACTGTGCATCTGATTCTTGTAAAATATACAGGGTGTTCCATTTAAATTAAACAACTTATTACAGTTTAAAGCTAGCAATTATTTAATATAAGTTTTTAGGCACTCTGTAGAACATAGTAGTATTGTTATTATTGCAAAACAATATCTGATCAATAAATAAACTTCAGTAAATATTTAGTATTAAAAACTTCGATACCCTTGCCTTGGAGAAATGAGGCCTTAATTTCTTACTGCAATTTCATAGAATTGAAAATATTTCAAAAACTGTAAGGTTTAAGTGTGATAAACATTAATAAAATTTACCTTTACTTCAATCGTAGAATCTAAAAATAAAATAATATACAGAGTGTTCCATTTTAAAAAAAAAGTATTAATTATAAAATACAACTATTATAATTTTTACTTATTTGGGACACACTTTAAAATAGCTATAATAGTCCTTCAACGAACCCAAAGGAACATCCCTGTATAACAATAACATAATACCCCAAATATCTGCAAAACTTAGGAAATACACAAAAAAATAAAAAGCATTATTATTTCTTAATTCTACATTTAAAATAAAAATAATATACAGGGTATTTAAGAAACTGAAATGTAGCATTTTTTGATTATTATTACAGTATGTTCCCGGATTTGTATTTACAAGAGGAAACATTTTTTACTATTGACATTTTCAGTAAAAATGGGATTACAAGTTATAACTTTTTCATAAAAAAAAAGCTTATGAACTTATAATTACTTCTTTTGGCGACAGACCCTATGCAACAATTTTTTTTTTCAGTATATGCGCTATTATAACCAATGCAACATTTATATAAATCTATTTTTCACATCTTCGTCACCAAGAGCGATATTAGACTTCATCGGACAAATGGGTCACCCTGTAGTTAGACAAATTAATTAGATTAGCTGCCCATGTGTATTTTATCTGCATTTCAAACTAATTCAGTTTGTTTTTGACTGTTAAGTGACACTTTTCTCTAATCAAACCCTTCTGAAATATGAATTAAAATATTTTTCTAAAAGACACTTTGATTATATTTTTAATTAATTTTCTGTAACAAAGTAGTACAAATTCCTGTTATATTCTTTAAAATGAAATGTAAACTAAAATAAAGAGACACATACACACACACACACACACACCTTGGCTAAATTCACCTCACGGCAACATTTTTAGAATTAATGAATTAAAGAAATTATTTCGAGTTTTTAAAATAGATTAAACTGTAGGTAAAAATCCGCCCGAATCGAAAAGCTTTTTCATTAAGTTGTAATAGAAGCAAAAGCACTTTACTAAAGAGAAATATATCTTTGCTTTAGAAAAGCTACATCGAGATTTTATATAAATTTAATTAAACTTTTTTTGCTGCCCTCAGACTCATTTACCTTTGTCACTGTCAAATTAAGCATTTCCCCACCTGTTTTTCCCTTCACCGACCGCCCACGAACTCTGTCTATCTGTTATGTCAAAAGGGAAAATTATGAATCTTGATATAACGTCGTCGAGTTTTATATTAAACTTTTCGAGTGTTTTGTTCTTTAATAAACTGAACAAAAGAGCGAAAATTGAAATCAAGAAACACGTTTTGAGTATTATTAATTTTACATTACTTTTATAAATTATTGCGCAAGATACTTAATATACAGGGTGGTCCGAATTGTATTCGGGATAGTTCGGCAGTATATTCTGTAGATAAAAATAGGTAAAAAAGTTCGTATAAATTCATGTTTTAAAACACTTCATTTCGGAGATAGTAGCAGTAGAAGTTTAATTTTTATTTCTATAATAATTTCAGGATTCATTTTTTTTTTGGAACATTGGCAAGGGGGGATAACAATTAATGGTCACAAAATTACCAACCTCAGATTTGCAGACAATACGGTCCTTCTAGCGGGAAACGAGGAAGAGTTACTGCAGCTTCGAAAATTGGTTGAAGACGAAAGCGAGAAACTTGGACTTGAAATTAATCCCTCTAAAACAAAAATTATGATTATCGACAGGCAAAACAACAACAAACCTGATGTAGGAGCATTGGTCGTTTTGAGGTTGTTAATCAATATATATATCTTGGGTCGCTTATAAACAACACGGGATCGTTAGAAGGGGAAATAAGAAGAAGATGTGAAATGACAAATGCCTCTCAACTTCTATACAGTCACGTATACTTAAATATTTCGGTTACGTTATGAGGGGGGATACTGACTGTATGGAAAAACTCATTATACAGGGCAAGGTTCCGGGAAGAAGACCAAGAGGCCGCTCGCCCTCCCGATGGATAGACCAGCTATCAAAAATCACCCACAAGCCACTGCACACGCTTGTACATGAAGCACAAGACAGGGAATTATGGAGACAAACCTCACACATCACCTGACCACTACATTCCTTTTGTAGGAATAAAGACAGAGAGAGAGAGAGAGAATAATTTCAGAGCTAACGCCGATTTTTGGGTGAAAATTGGTGTCTGGGTGTTTTTTACAACACTCCTATTTGTAGGGGACGCCACCTATAGATTTTTAGCTTTTTTGAACACTAATAACTTTTCGTCCATACCTGTGTACGGACGTATTGTATACTGTGTGAAAAAATACACATTTCCTTCATTTTTTACGTATCTTGTTAGAAGTCACAACGGATAATGGGCCTCAAGATATTTGAAATCGAAATAATCAATACATGCCATAGTTGACAAAAATAATACATATTGACTGGATAGTTATTAGTCTGAAATAATAAATTTATAATGTTTTTGTGCCAAAGCATCAACAGAAAGTATCTATCGTATTTTTTTTTCTAGATAAATTTATGATTAGCTTAGAAAAATAAAAAGTTCCCAAATGGCCGCTAATATACCATAATTAGCATTAAGTCAACATGGTTATTTTTTGTCAATAATGACATGCACTGACTATTATTTCCATTCCAAATATCTTTAAAACGGTTGCTGAGTTTATTTAAATTTATATTTTTTGACTTACTAGTTTTATACAAGTACGGATGAAAACTTTATTACTCTTCAAAACAGCTAAAAATATGTAGGTGGCGCCCCTTACAAGTAGGAGTCATATTAACATTTATATCAAATTTATCATGTCAAAAAACATCCAGACAGCAATTTTCAGAAGTAATTACCCAAGTGCATCAAAATTACCGATAATTTTTCATGAAAGCATGTTGTTCAGGTTATCAGGTTAATTTTGATGCACGAGTGTAATTCGGTAGAATATTTCCCGAATAAAAAAACATGAAAATACAAGTGAAAATACATAGATTTTTTAAAAACATTTATTTGAACATATTAAAATATTGGCCAGTGCCGAGATTGAAATGTTCGCATCTAAAATGTAGTTTCTATCTTTTATAAACAAACAAAAAAAACAAACAAACAACGCTTTATTGTGCAAAAAGCCAAAACAGCTTCATCGACAAAGCACTCACAAACAACAAAATCACAAAAAAATACAAACAACAAAAAATACACAATACAAATAATACAATTTAAAAAAATTTAAGTCTTTAAAATTGCAAAAAGAATATACATGGACAATTTTAGCAGTACACAGTAAATAGATATGATTTTAGAGTTATAAAATATTAAATACTTGACCTTTGACCAGTGTGTGAGATGATCAAAATTTTAAAATTCAAAATTGTTCATAATTAAACATCAACAAAAATGTCGTTTACAGCATATAGGGCTCTCTCCAGTAAGCATGATTTTAGAGCTTTGCGAAATGCGGGAAAGAATGAAAGCGACTTGATATCCAAAGGCAGATGATTGTACATTTTTTTGGCATTGTACAGTATTGAACCTTTAACTAGTTCTGAGCTCGGGGTTGGCAGATAAAGATCGTGCTCTGCATTCTAAGTGGATAGTTATGAGATGGCCTTTCGGGAATAGCAGATATGTGCTTGCGGATTAAGCAAACGGATTCAAAAATGAATAAAGAAGGAAGAGTCAGTATTTTCAAATTTTTAAAGAAATTCTGGCAGTGAGTTCTACTGTTCAGTCTCAATAAATATCGAAGTGCTCTCTTTTGAAGTCTGAAAACACGATCAAATTTTGTTGCGCAGCAAGTACCCCAGAATGGAAGGGCATAACGAAGATATGACTCAAAAAGAGCATAATAGACTATTCTAGAGGTTGAGAAGTAAAGTTCCTTAGAAACTAATCTTAGCGCAAAACAGGCAGGCGCTTAGTTTCTTTGATAGAGCTTCGATGTGAAAGTCCCATTTTAACAAGTTGTCTACAACAAGTCGTAAGAACTTCACAGAGTCCACGACGTCAATAGTGGTGTTATTAAGTACAAAAGGTTGTATAGTACTTTTATATGACAAAACTTTAGTTTTTGATAGGTTGAGGCATAGGAGATTAGAATCGCACCAAGGCTTAATGATGGTAAGTCGCTGGATATAGTATCATATAGTGCCGCAACATATTTGCCGCTCCAAGTGAAACTAGTATCGTCCGCAAAGAGGCAGATTTTACCGCTAATGTCTAGATTTGCAATGTCGTTGATAAACACCAGAAACAAAATAGGGCCAAGTACTGAACCCTGAGGGACACCACATTCTATAGGCTTACTAGAAGACATAGACGTATCAATCCTCACAAGCTGCCTTCTGTTGCCAAGATATGACTTAAGCCATTCGAGCGGCACTCCCCTGAAACCATAGTATTGCAATTTGTTAATTAAGATATTATGATTTACACAATCGAAAGCCTTAGAGAAATAACAGAAAATTGTAGCTGTAGAGTGATGGTTATTCAGGCTAGAGTATACATTATTAAAAAGGTCGAACATAGCATCATTTGTGCAACTGTTACTTAGAAATCCAAATTGATGGGTAGTAAGTATTTTGTATTGAAGGAGAAAAGATATAAACCTTTTTTTAACCAATCTTTCAATGATCTTAGATAATGTGGGCAGGAGTGCAATTGGGCGATAGTTAGAAGCTTGATCTTTATCACCTCCTTTATACAGAGGAATAATTATTGCTGTCTTAAGGCAGTTTGGAAAAACTCCTTTTTGGAATGACTCGTTAATTAAAATAGTAAGATGGTTTAATGTGCATTCAGGAAGTTCAGATAACATTTTGAGAGTAAGCCCATCAGTCCTAGATGAGGATTTGTTTTTAATACTATTAATTGTACTACGGAGCTCATCTAATGCTACGGGCGTGAGGAAGAAACTTTGTAAATTCTCATTTGCTTTAGGGAGATATGAAAGTGAATCATGGGAAGGAGTTATGGTGTTCACTAAATTTTTAGCCACATTAACAAAGTAAGTGTTTAAATCTTCAGGTGAATTAAAGACTGTGCCAGACGAAGAAGTCTTATTTCTTAAGTCATTTACAATAGCCCAAGTCTCCTTGGCGACATTACCGGCTTTGGCTAGCATCGCATTATAATAAATGTCCTTGCCAGCTTTCACAGTCTTACGATAAACCTTTCTATAAAGTTTCACGTAATTATGAAAGAAGACGCTGTCCGTGAATTTCTTAAGGTGAGATAATGAGCGCATGTTCTTTGCAGATATACGCAAGTCTGTAGTAGACTACTCTCTTTAGACCACCAAGTAGGTATACCTTGTTTACTTTTGATAGGCCTAAGAGGAAACGCCTTGTACGCCAGACTAGACAAGGTATCCATAAATCTAGAAAATTCGGAATCGACGTCAGCCGAGAGGACAACCCACTCTGTTATTAGACAGAGGTGGTGAAAATTTAGAAAATTTTCATCCGAAGAAATACGACCCAATTTGCGAGAGGTATTTTTGCATTTGGATTTTAGCAAAAACTTTGTCAATACTGCCTCATGATCAGAGAAACCTGAGTGAAGGACTCCACAGTCAACGAATTCCGGGTCAAGTCATAAAGTCCATAAACTGTTTCCATACAAACTGGTGATTAATTATAGTATTTTTCGGCTTACTTCGGCAACTTTTTCTTCAATTGCACTTAAAGAATCGTTTCCAAATCGAGACAATTTTAGAATACCTATTATTTTTAATATAATAATAATTTAGGTCTAAGTGCCAAATGTGCCCTTGTCACTTAGACATTCTGCGGGAAATTTTCGCGGGGTAATTTTCGATTTTAGCGGGCAATTTTCGCCGAAAATTACCCGCTTCATATGGGATTTTTTGTACATGAGTGAAATATTCATCGAAATATCGAATACGTAAGTTCAATAATTATTTGAAAAAAATCGAAATAAATATGTTAATAAATATTGGCTATAACTCAGTAATTTTTCGAAAAAAAAAACATTATAATTATATCGCTGGATGTATGGAAGGATTTTTTTTAAACATTTTCAAAAATCCGAAAGGCGCATATTTTTGACCTCACCAAATTGTAATTCTTTCCCTATTTAACCGACTCTCTATCTTCAGTAGTTTCCGAGAGACCTACAGAGAACATCACAGAAAACTCACCCTGTATATTTGTCTCATTCATGGCAGGAATTTAGACAACCAATTGTTTATTATTCTTAGTTTTAATAGAAAAATCACACTCAATATAATAAATATGGTGCTTTCAACAGATATAAATATGCTATAAATTTATTAACAATCTGCTTTCAAGATTTATTTGAATACAGTTACTCTACTCCTAAAGAACGTTCGTTTGTTAAATATAAAAAAAAATATTTTTCTCGCATTCCTAAGCATAATACTATTGGAGTTAAGTAAAACATAAGATAATACAAACACCAGAAAGACAAATTAGTTAAAATCCTTGCAATATCATCCGCAAGCCCCATTCTTTTTCATCGCCCATCAAAACCTCGAGAAGATTGAGGAAGGATCCAGAATAAAATTAAGAAATCCAAAGAGGAATAACGTGCCCGGAATCTTCGGGGACCGGACTTTGATTGATGTCTCAGTACTCAATTAGATAGAAAAGCACCGTCTCACTGTATTATAATATCGTTAGGATAGACCCAGTGGCCTAAATTATTAACCG